CTCTGTGGGGCAATGCTTTGAGCCTGAGTGAATGTCATGTGCTGCCGCAGTCTTTCTGCCAATGGCCTTAGTATCCACTTATAAATCTCACCTGAATTAGTTATTAGGAAGGTGGTTGTTAAATGATTTTCTATTTCTCTCATTCCTTGTACATCTGTTAGTTGGCCTTCTTTGGTAAAGAGCTTTCTCTTCTCTCTAGCCCCATCCCCGGGAAATTGGTTTTTAAGTGGGTGGCCACATACCCAGCCAAAGTTGAAGCTCTGTCTATAAGGACTTGGGGGAGGGCGAATACTGGCGTCTGCAGCTAGCACGCTGTCACGGGCCTAAGCCTAGGCCGTCTTCCTACTGCAGTTGAATCCACGATTGACTTGAATTGTAAAAACTTAAAGTAAAAAGAAGCAATTAGTGCTTCACATATGGAAGGATGGGAAAAGATAACCTGAATTCACAGGTGGCGTTTGGTGTTTCAGGACTGTCATTCTCCAGGGGGACCAACTGGGCCAGTGGTTCTCAACCTTGGCTGCTGACATAGTTAGGATGTTTGTTCCCTCCAAATCTCATGTGGAAACGTGATCTCCAGGGTTGGAGGTGGGGCCGAGTGGGAGGTGTTTGGGTCATGGGGGCAGATCCCTTGTGAATGGCTTGGTGCCCAACCCTTGGTAATGAGTTAGTTATTGTTCTATTAGTTCATCAAGAGTTGGTTGCTAAAAAGGATATGGGGGCCGAGCATGGTGGCCAACGCCTGTAATCCCAGCACATTGGGATGCTGAAGTGGGCAGATCACCTGAGGTCGGGAGTTTGAGACCAGCCTGGCCAACATGGAGAAACCCAAAATTAGCTGGGCATGGTGGTGCATGCCTGTAATGCCAGGTACTCGGGAGGCTGAGGCAGGAGGATGGTCTGAAATCCGAAGGCGGAGGTTGCAGTGAGCCGAGATTGGGCCACTGCATTCTAGCTTCGGTGACTGAGTGAGATGTCGCCAGAAAAAAAAAAAAAAGAATATGGGGGCTGGGCATGGTGGCTCACACCTGTAATTTCAGCACTTTAAGAGGCTGAGGTGGGAGGATCGCTTGAGCCCAGGAGTTTGAGACCAGCCTGCGCAATATAATGGGACCTAATCTCTACAAAAATTAAAACAAACAAACAAACAAAAAAAGGACCCCTGCTCTCCCTCTTGCTCCGTTTCTCACCATGTGACATGTCTGTTCCCCTTTTGCCTTCCTGCATGAGGGAAAGCTTCCTGAAGCCTCACTAGAAGCCAAGCAGGTGCTGGTGCCACGTTTGTACAGCCTGCAGAACTGTGAGCCAAATAAACCTCTCTTCCTTATAAATTACCCAGCCTCAGGTATTCCTTTATAGCCATGCAAAATGGACTAACACAGCTGTGCATTGGACTTACCTGGGGAGCTTAGACCTGGGTTCCATCCAAGGGCGTTGTGATTTGATTGGTATAATTGCAGGCTGAGCATCATGATTTCCAAATCTCTCTTGGGCATTCCAAAATGCTTGCAGAGTTGAGAAACTTGAAACAGGCAGCCGAAATTGGCCACACAGGGTAAATTAGTGCTCCTTGTTTCAATCCATTGGATAGAAATGGAGGAACTGAACCAAGAAGATTGGCATGTCTTGCTTTCAAATCAGCACTTTCAAAAATCTGTCCATTGTTAGTGTTTGACCACATGGCATATTCACAGATTGGATTGCTCACCTTCAAATAAAAGTGACTGTTCTCAAAATCCAATTTAACTCAGCTGGTCCAATCCAGGTAACCAGATTTAGAGTGCATTTCATTACTTTAGTCACAAGCTCATTTAAGCTGTTGTAAAAATGGAAACGACTTTTTCTATCTTAAGGATGGAGTGGAGAGGATCCTGAAGCTGTGGAAGTGACAAGGGTTGGTCTGAGTAGAAATGACAACAGTTGCTACTGTGCCCTGAACCTTGGCCACAGTTCCAGCGTTGTGCCACATGCTTAATATAAAGTGGGTCTTTAAAACTTTTAAAAGTTGTGAATATTTCAGACATATAAAAGGCATAAAGAATAATGGCCTGGTGTGGTGGCTCATACCTGTAATCCCAGCACTTTGGGAGGCTCAGGCAGGTGGAGCACCTGTGGTCAGGAGTTCCAGACCAGCCTGGCTAACATGGTGAAACCCCATCTCTACTAAAAATACAAAAATTAGCTGGGTGTGGTGGTGGGTGCCTGTAATCCCAGCTACGCAGTAGGCTGAGGTGGAAGAATCGCTTGAACCCAGGAGGCAGAGGTTGCAGTGAGCTGAGATCACCCCACTGGACTCCAGCCTGGGAAGCAAAGTGAAACTCCATCTCAAAAAACAAACAAAAAAAGAATAAAATAATGAACACCCTGGTTCCACCACATGGTTTAAGATTCCAGAGGTAGGCTGAGCGCCGTGGCTCATGTCTGTAATCCCAGCACTTTGGGAGGCTGAGGCGGGTGGATCATTTGAGGTTAGGAGTTCAAGACCAGCCTGGTCAACATGGTGAACTTCTGTCTCTACTAAAAATACAAAAAAATGAGCTGGGCATGGTGGTGCATGCCTGTAATCCCAGCTACTCCAGCGGCTGAGGCACAAGAATAGTTTGAACTTGGGAGGTGGGGGTTGCAGTGAACCACGATTGCACCACTGCACTCCAGCCTGGGTGACAGAGTGAGATCCTGTCGCAAAAAAAAAAAAAAAAAAGATTCCAGGGCTTAGATTGGTTTTGACTGAGTTTGGTGTTTATTATTTCTTTTTATTTTTATCCCCCCACATATATATAGCTAAATATATAATATAAATATGTATATTATGTATAGTTGTATATAAAATATATGATATATTAATTATATACATATAACTAAATAACATATGACACTGTTTTGCATGGTTTAAGCCACATGTAAATGATCTCACACTATATGTATTGTACAATTTACTTGTTTTTGCTTAGCATTATAGTTGCGAGATTCCTTTAATTCCAATTAAGGAGTACTTTCCTTAGCATTCTTACATGAGGTTCCTTGGACACCTGTATCAGAGTTTCTCTAAAATCTAAGAGTATAATTGTTGTATTATATTATAATATAACACAGTAAGGCTGGGTGTGGTGGCTCATACCTGTAATCTCAGCTCTTTGGGAGGCCCAGGCAGGCGGATCACTTCAGCTCACAAGTTTTTAAGACCAGCCTGAGCAACACAGCGAAACCCTGTCTCTACAAAAAATACATAAAATTAGCCAGGTGTGGTGGTGCATGCCTGTAGTCTCAGCTACTCGGAAGGCTGAGGCGGGAGGATGGCTTGAGCCTGGGAGGCGGAGGTTGCAGTGGGCTGGGATGGCACCACTGCACTCCAGCCTGGGTGATAGAGACAGACCCTGTTTCCAAAACAAAACAAAGCCAACAAACAACAAACAAACAAACAATAAAACCTAGTATATATTATATACTTATATAGTATATACTGTACTATAGTATATGTTCATTTATAATCTTATCAGATATTGCCAAATAGGTCCGAAAATTGAACCAGCTTAAGCTCTCATGAGTGGTGTATAAGAGTTTCAGTTCTATGCCTTTACCAACACTTGGTATTGTCAGACTTAAACATTTTTGTCAAATACATTATTTCTAAATTCTGCCAGCAGTCCTATGAGCTAGCCTTGTTTCAGGCAAAGAAACTAAGTGTTGGATATTAAGCAACTTTTCCAGTGACATAGCAAATAATTAAAAGAGTTGATTCTAACCCAGGTCTGCCAGATTCCAAAGCTCTTGGGCTGCATGAAGTCACTAGAACATAGTAGAGCTTCTGAACCTGTAGCTGGAGGTGAGTATCACTAGGCGTGAGAGAAGGACCAAAGACCAGGAGTTAGGACGGAGTAATAGAAACGGGGGAGAAAGCACGTAAGAAAGTATGTAAGGCAAGAAATGCTGACAATGGCTTGTCTGTGGCACCATCAGGCAAGGCTGCCATAAGAAAAGGATAACTGGTTGGGTGTGGTGACTCATGCCTGTAATCCCAGCACTTCAGGAGCCCGAAGGAGATGAATTACTTGAGGTCAGGAGTTCGAGACTAGCTTGGCCAATGTGGTAAAACCCTGTCTCTACTAAAAATACAAAAATTCGCTAGGCGTGGTGGTGGTTGCCTGTAATCCCAGCTACTCAGGAGGCTGAGGCAGAAGAATCGCTTGAACCCAGGAGGCAGAGTTTGCAGTGTGTCAAAATCATGCCATTACACTCCAGCCTGGGAGACAGTGCCCGACTCAATCTCGGAAAAAAAAAAAAAAAAAAAAGGAAAGAAAAGAAAGAAAAAGACAACTGTGACAGTTAAAAATTTTTTAAAAAAGAGATGAGGTCTCACTGTGTTGTCCAGGCTGGACTGCAGTGGTGCAATCACAGCTTACTGCAGACTCCAACTCCTGGACTCAAGTGATCCTCCCATTTCTGCCTCCCAAGTAACTGGGACAGCAGGTGCGCCATGGTGCCTGGCTAACTGTGACAATTTAAGAATGGGCAGTTTTTTTGACTCTCTTCCCATAGAGGTGGCATCTATGTCCCCTCTCCTTAAAACTAGGTGGACTCTACCTGCTGTGATTAGTAGAATTTGGTAGATGCGACTGCCAATTCCCAGGTTCATAGGCCTTAAGAGTCTGCAGCTTCCACTTCCTGTGTCTCGGAACACCTGTCCTGGGGAAAAATAGCTTCCATAAGAGAAGCCTCACTACCCTGAGACTGCTGTGTTGTGCGGTAGTCCAAACAGATTCATGGAGAGGAATCAAGATCTCTCTCCCCTTTTCTCCTGAGCCAACATCTTTGGCAGAGCTGTCAGCCAACAGCCAGCCCCAGTCTGCCAGCCGTGTGAGCAAGCAGTCTTGGAAGGTGATTCTACAGCCCCAGCTGAAACACTCCAACTGATGCTGTGTGAGCCGAGAAGAGCAGCCAAACTGAGCCCCCCCTTATTTATTTATTTTTTTAATCGCAATCAGATATTCGGAAATGCAGTCTGATGTCAGCAAGGCACCTGCGCCCAGCCAGAACCGTGCAAGGACAGAGCAACACCACCGCCTGGCTGTGCAGAAGGGCTGGGGCAGGGTCGCTGTGCCTCTCAGCGGCCTCCTTGCTGCCACCGGTCTCTGAGCCTTGGGGCGCCCGAGGCACCACCTCCTCTTTGGGTCAGCCCAGCCTCTTGGTGCCCTCGGAAGGAAGGGAGGCAGGGCTGCAGAGGGGTGAGCCGGAGGTGGGGCCCCAGTGCACACACATGCAGACTTTCCCAGTGTTTGGCTTCGTTCGTTCTCCTCCTCTGCTAAAATGATCAGTCATGTGAAGCAGCCGCCAGCCAGGTGGACAGGCAGCGGTGCTGGGACGCTGCCCGCCGGCTCCTCGGATCCGGAGGCCCCGTCCTACTTCTGTATCTGGAACAGGAAGAGCCGCAGGTTGATGTTCTTGGCGGTCAGCAGCTTGTTACACTCCACGGAGTCAATGATGGGCAGGGGCACCTAGTCCGTCTCGTTGCTCTCGTTGGTGAAGACAAAGTGGTAGATGACGGGGCTGATCCTCACGTCGTCGTAGGGGCCTTTAAGCAGCAGGAAGGAGCACTCTAGGGGTGCCGTGACCTTGCTCTTGAGGAGGAGCTGGAAGGAGAGCGTGCGCTTGCAGGACAGGTTGGGGTTGCGCTCTGAGTCGTTGACGCGAGCCTTCAGGACCCACGTCTGGTTCAGCACCGTGAACCTGGGCGTCTCGTAGTACAGGCGCGTGATGATGTCGCCTGTGCGGTACGGCCGGAATTGGACCTCTGTGTAGCCGATCTTCTCGAAGCTAAGCAGGCTGAAGATGCTGTTGTACAACTGCATCTCCTTGCGGTGGCTCTGGTCCATCTCATCCAGGATCTCCATCAGCTCGTTGCCTGTCTTGGTAGGGTGGGCACAGGCAGCCTCGTGCACTGTCAGCTCGTGGAAGGGGCCGTGCCAGGGGCAGCCGATGCGCTTGTACTTGCACTGGGTTACCCTGTCCTGGCATTCCTCTTTCTGGTGCCTCTCCAGGAGGGAGTGGGGAAACTGGCGCAGGCAGAAGCCACACTCTGAAGGCAGCTCGCTCACGGCTTTCTCCGCGGCCAGGTTCCGGCAGCAGAGGCTCTTACTGATCTCATAACGACAATTGGGGCACGTGGCCTGCTCCTCCTTCAGCCAGGCATCTGCTAGTAGGTGGATAAAACAGCCAGCGCACATCAAGTGACCATTAGTACACTGGTACACGGAGGCCTTGGGCAGGTCCAGCACACGGTGCAGCACTTCTTTTTTTTTTTTTTTTTTTTTGCATTTGCCAATGGAAGCTTTTACTGGGGGACTGGGGGTGGGGCTGAGGGCCTGGGAAAGGCACATGGTGGCAGTGGGGTCTCCCTCGGGCAGGCGCTGGCTCTGCAGACAGCTCCCTCAGGTGACCCTTCTTTGGCACTGAGCTGGGAACATGGTGCCTGCACTCCTGGCTGGCAAGCAGAGGCCTGTGCGGCCCGGTGGCGGCTGGCAGTGTAGGCTGGCGGGGGGATGGCCCCAGGGGCTGGATTTGGCACCAGTGGGAACCGGGGCCCCATGGGACTCAGAGGCTGGGCTGCCCCTGCTGCTGGCAGGGTAGTCACATTGGCCATGGAGATGGCTATGAATAGGGAATCCAATAAATTAGGCAGTGGAAAAAGGCGGCAAGGGGCCGAGGGCTGGGCTACGCTCTCATTCGGAAGGCAGCGCTGTGCATCCCTCTCCCTCAGGCTCTCTGGGGCTCCTGGGGGGAGAGGATGCAGGTGAGGGGCTCTGACCATGGGTTCCACCGGGGGGCTTTTATGGCATCTCATGGGACGGAAGCCTCGGCTGACCACCCTCGGGGGATGGAGCGTGGGGTCTTTGAGAGACTGAGGAGGGAATTGTGGGGACTCCAGTCTTTGGAGGGAGGCTGCCGGCAGTGCCGGGGCTGTGGTGTGAGGGGTCCCTGGTGCTTAGCTGCGCTGCTGTGTGGCCAGCACTGGGGCCCCCTGTGCCCCAGCTCCCTCTGTGGAGCACAGTCAAGGACTCACTGCCCTGGACAGGGCCCAGTCACTGTGGAGCAGCTCCCCAGGGAGCGGGAGGGATGGGGGATGGGGGGAGGGATGCAGGGTGCCACCCTCCATGGCTACTTTCCCAAGGGCGGGAAGGGTCTTCTAAGAGGGCCAGGCATGCAGGACAGGGTGGGCGTGGGTAGTTGCTGCTGTCTCCTTCATGTGATCCGAGCTTGGGATCGGGGCAGGGGCCCGGGAGGGCCTTGTCAGGTGGAGGCACCCTGGAGGCCACCAGGGCCTTGCGGACTTGGTGCTGGTGCCTGTGCTGGGGCCACAGCCTCGCCCAGGATCTGGCAGAGCTCCTGGAGGCGCCGCTGCATCTTGGGAATGCCCGCCAGCTGCTGCTCCAGTCGCTGCTTCTCCTCGGTCAGGCTCAGGCAGGCAGCCGAGTCCAGCTTCTCGAACTTCCACCCGCCCTCCCCATCGAACTGTAGCAAGTGTGTGTGGTACTTCCACAGGGAAGGACGGCGGGTGATGGAGAGCAGAGCGATGCCTGCGTCCTTGGCCGCCTGGCATCTGTTACCTTCATTGGTAACAACACAGCAGAGGAGGGTGTGGCCAAAGGGCAGAGCCAGAGAAGAGACCGCAGAGGAGTTGACAGCAGAACCTCTCGGCAGCCAAGGTGTGGGGCTGTTGAATGACTTGCCTAAGATCAAACAGCCAGTAAACAGTCCTGCCCTTTCTGCCACACTGCGTTCCTTGGGTCACGGAGTCCTCTCTGCAGGTTACTCAGGCTCCCAAAGTGCTGGGATTACAGGTGTGAGCCACCATGCCCAGCCATGCATCATGATTTTCAAAGGCCAGCTTCCTGACTGTTCCTTGAGCTCCTTGAGATTTGTGGAGTTTACTGTGCTTGTGAAATGCAAACTGCAAATCACTCAGACCTCATAATGGATAGGCCTGTGACCCAGCCAGGCCCCTAGGTATCCGGTGGTCTGTCTTTCCAGCGAAGGAACAGAGTGGTGGAGGTAGAGACTGACTGCTTAATGAAGATATCAGAATTTGCGTAACCCAAAATCGGGCTCCCATCAAAGTAGTGGTTCTAGGGCTGCAACCTCTTCCCAAAGATGTTGTAACGCTTGTCTTCAGGGCCAGTTTCTGCTTTTCATTTTGCTTTGCTTCTGGCTAAAAATGGGATGATCCTGTTGCCACTGACCTTACTTCCCAGTCTTTTCTTAAACTCTTGAGTGTTTGTAAGGAAATAAAATCTATCTTCAAAGAAAAAAAAATATATATATACATATTTCTGGTTTTAAGCCATTAAGTTTTGAGATAGTTTGTTACGTAATAATAGACATCAGAACTATAGTTAAAGCAGATGCTGAAGGGAAGATGTTTTTATCATTCATGGATATCACAAAATATGTATATTTAATGCATTTCAAAATTTTAATTCTAACCAATACAATTCTTTGGAGTTTACTTTTCTTGTTATAGAAATAGCACATTATAAATCACCTACTGGCGAAACCCAATCTACTCTTGTTATTTTTCCATATTCTGTTCTAGTCTTTGCTTCAAGTGAAAATTTAATTTGTAATTAAATAGGTAATTATGGAACAGATATGGCTTAGATTTCTTGTGCCATGTCATTTTTAGATGGGATTGGCCAATGGAAATCAGACAGTAATTAGGGTGGTACGAAATTAGTCATAGCTTGCCTTATTTATTTATTTATTTATTATCATTTTTTGAGACAGGGTTTTGCTGTCATCACCCAGGCTAGAGCGCAGTGGCGTGATCTTGGCTCACTGCAGCCTCTGCCTTCCAGGTTCAAGCAATTCTCCTGCCTCAGCCTCCCGAGTAGCTGGGATTGCGGGAGTGCACCACCGCGCCGGGCTAATTTTTGTATTTTTAGCAGAGATGAAGTTTCACCATGTTGACCAGGCTGGTCTCGAACCCTTGACGTCAGGTGATCTGCCCACCTCAGCCTACCAAAGTGCTGGGATTACAGGCGTGAGCCACCGTGGTTGGCTTACCTTAACACTCACTTGCTTTCACTTACTCACTCTTTGCAATAACTCAATCTGGAAGTTTGATTTTACAGATGGGAGGACTAAGGCATTGTAGAGGTAAAGAAGGGAATCCAAGGTCTCACAGCTAGAACATTAGGGAATGTGTCATTACAGTGGTGGAGAAAACGAAAGTAAAGCGAAAGCAGTTTACCAGGTGCCCACACACAGAAAACTTCCAACCAGTAAGGTGGGAGCATTTCCAAATCTGAGATAAATGAGACTGCTAGATGCCAAACGGATTGCTCCTCCTTAGGAGAATCTGAGTGTATGGAAAATTATTTAAGGACCATTGAAACCACTTTCGGCGTGTGCTTTGGCAATAGCTCCTCCCCAAAAGCATGCAGCCAGCAGAAGATCTGGATACCACATCGACTGAGATCCTAAATGTGCTTAGGGAAGGGAGTCCCCACCATGGAACCTGTGTCCTGTGCTTCTAGGGTCTTCAAAATCAATAAAAATGAGCAGGTAATTGAAGGAGAAGGAAAATAAAGCACAAGGGAGGTGATTTAGGGCTTTGTAGAAATGCCTCTGTTACCCATTTCTGGGGTTTTGTTGCTGGAGCCTTTCAGGGGAAGTGTGGATTTAAAACAGTCTGATAGGCCAGGTGTGGTGGCTCATGTGTATAATCCCAGCACTTTGGGAGGCTGAGGTGGGCGGATTATGAGGTCAGGAGTTTGAGACCAGCCTGGCCAACATGATAAAACTCCGTCTGTACTGAAAATACAACAATTATCTGGGCCTGGTGGTGGGTGCTTGTAATCCCAGCTACTTGGGAGGCTAAGAGGGAGAATTGCTTGAATCCGGGAGGTTGAGGTTGCAGTGAGCCAAGACCGCGCCACTGCACTCCAGCCTGGGCAACAAGAGCAAAACTCCGTCTCAAAAAATAAAATAAAATAAATTGAAACAGTCTGATAGCCCAGCCTGGTGGCACAGACCTACAGTTCCAGCTATGTGGGAAGTGAGAAGGGAGGACTACTTGAGCCTGGAGGGTTTGAGGGTGCAGTGAGCCAAGTTCACACCACTGCACTCCAGCCTGGGTGACAGGGTGGAGCCCTGTCTTAAAAAAACAAACAAAACAAAACAGTCTGATTTGCAGGCATAATTAAAATAGCATTGACATTGCTGCCATTTTCTGAATGTCTGGCATGGGAATGCTCATTTTCCCAGTGAAACCCATTGCCTGTAGCAGCTTGGTCTACCCCGACAGCTGAGAGAACCTGGAGGCATGCTGGTACCATAACAGGCTAAGGCTTGGTTTGCCCCCTGCCTCTGTAAAAGAGAGGGCTCATCTTCTATCCTTATGGCCTCCATCCCACCTTGCAGAACTTTATGCCAAGCGGAGCAGATGTCATGGGTAGGAGCCACTGATCTACTTGATGGTGACACAAAACTGCTGGGACATGTGTTGAAAAACATGTTTTATAGAGCAGCAGAAGCTGTTCCAGGCATTGCCTTTGCAAAGCCATTGGGCTGGTGCTAGGCTAGGGCTTGCTTCATTGCTGGGTTCCTCCTGAGCAGCCCTCCTGGCACCCAGGGGCAACCAACCATCTCAGGAAGGCAATGGCTATGGCAGACCAGCTTGCTTTGTTCAGAGCACTTTTTGCTGTAATAGCCACAATTGTTTCCCAGAAAAACCATTTGTCACAGGAACCCTGTCACTTAGAGCTTTGTGTGTGCATTTTATTGAGGAACTGGCCAGAACATGCAGCAAGAACCTGACTTTGCCTGACAGAGGCAGATGATATTAGGAGTCTACTGAAGATGTAGGAAGCAAAGCTTCTCGAAAGACACTAGTATTTGGAAACTGCTTCCTTCTGTGCCCCTTTGGGAAGTTTGATGCATTGGACACTCGTAGATACCCTGCATCCATACCCCTTCCCTTTCCCCTTCCCAGCAGGCTCAGACTTCCAATTGGGACTTCAGTGATTGCAGCTCTAAGCCCATCAAGGCATGCCAGTTCTATCTTCCGGATGGGCATGTGAACAACTCTAGGCTATTCAGGGCGAATCTCAGGACTTTTGCTGGGATCTTAAAGCAAAGAATTTTCTGCTGCTTTTAAAAGGGGAGCATGCAGCCCCAGGTGTTCCTCTGCGGAACACAGGGCCCCAGGCCTGTATCCAGGATGCCACTACCATGTGGAAGACGGCACGGAGCCAAGCAAAGCAATGGGTCCTGGCAA